TATTATTATTATCTAAATTATTTTTATTATTTAAAGGGTAATCTTTATAGTTTACCTAGCTAATTCTCTAGTTAATTTATATATTATAGTATTATAACTATAAAAATCTAAGTATTAAATTATATTTTTATATTAAGATAATATTAAAATTAATACCTTAGTTTTTTTTATTAATAAATACCTTAAGGTAATTAATCTCTTAGGTAATTCTTCTATTATTATAATTATAAGTATCTCCTTCTTTATCCTTTATAGTATAAGGTTTTTTTTTATTTCTTTATAATAGCCTTAGTTTATTAACTATTTTAAGGGAAATAAAATTTATATTAGCTCTGCTATTTATAAGTGCATTTAGCTACTTATCCTTAATTCTAACTTTTAATTTTAGGCAGGTTTATTAATTTCCTTTTATAGTTATTCTTAAAGCTTTTTCTAGGAGTTTATTTTCCTTTATTTTTTTACCTATCTGCTACTTTATTATAGATAATATATGCCTTTTTCCTATAAGTAGTCTATATTATATTTACTTCTAGTGCAGTTAATATTATTAGGATATTTATATTAAGTAGTAAGTTATTATTAATATATAGTTTTTATTTTTCTTATTTTATAGTCTAGGATAATATCTGCTTTCTCTTTTTTAATAAGCGGTCTTCCTTTTTCTTATTTTAATTCTTCTAAGTATTCTTATAGTTATTACTTATTTAATTATTAGATAGTATCTTATTTATCTTAAGATACTTTTTTTTCTTATTATATAATATTTTAATTAATTTAATTAAGTTTTTAGTTAAGTATTTTATTTTTAATAACCTTAATTTCTTATTATATCTTTTATCTCTATTATATAATATATTAGGAGTTTTAGATATATATTAAAGCTTATTTTTACATTTTAATATAAGCTTTTAGTTTTACTACTTAAGATTCCCTGTATCTCTTTATAACTTAGTATCTAATAGTATTAATAATTATATAAGGTTTTTATTCTTAATATTTATTAATTTATACTAGGAAGTAATTATTTACTACTTTATTTTACTAATATTATAGGTAGTAGTATTATATATATAATATCTATAATATCTACTTATAGTTTAGATAATTTAGGTATCTTCTTAGATTCTTTTTAACCTAAATATATTCTTCTAGAGTTATAGGATCTTCTAGTATTTCTTTTATATATACTTAGATATAAATATTATTATCTTATTCTATAATTATATATTTTTTTATAAGTTTTATATACTTTTAGTGCTTATTACTTTAAAAATAAATTCTATATTTATTATATTAAGGTATTATTTCTATGTTTTAGATTATTTAATTTTCTTTATATCTAATATATTTAGTATTAACTTCTTTCTAGACTTAATAAGAGTTTAAATAATTTAGATTATTAATATATTAGTTTAGGTATTATAAGGTAGTTTTAATAAGAATATTATTAATTTCCTAGTTAATCTCCTTAGTACTTAGTTTATTATCTAAGTTAGGGTTAACTTTCTTTCCCTTTCTAACTATAAATATAAATTTCCCTCTAGTAAAGTATTATATTCCTAATTCAGGTATTAATATCTATTTAAGTTTAACTTCTACTTCTTATTTTACTTTTAATTTTTATTATTTTTATTATTTACTTTTTTTTCTTTTAAACTTAGGGTCTTCTTATCTTTTTACATTATATACTCTTTTCTTTACCTATTTCTTACTTTTATTTTACTTATAAATTATTATTATAAGAGCTAAGTATCTTAGGGTAGGTTATTATTCTAGGTTTAGGTTTTAATAATATTTCTTAAGGGTTTCTTCCTTACTAAGAAATAGGTTATATATATTAGTAGTAAGTCCTATGTTAAATAAGTTATATCTTATTCTAGTTATATTAATAGTTTTAATTACTATTTAGGGTTTATTATCTCTTTTAATTATATTAATTTTCTTATATTTAAGAATAGGTTTATACTTCTAGTTAGTTTTAATAGGATTCTTATATTCTAGGTTATAATGCCCCTTTTTACTGCAGTTTTAGCAAGTAATTTTAGATTTATCTTTCTTAGTTATTCTAATAGTCCTTAGTCTAAAGTTAATACTATAAGAAGTATTATTATTTTATTTCTTTCCCTAGTTAGTATTATAGTATAGCTTATTTCTTTATTATCTCTAATTATTTTAGTTATAATAGATTCTCTACTAAAATTATATATTATTAATTTTAATAGCTTTATTAATATAATTAACTAATATCTTTAGTCTAGCTTCCTTATAAAGTTCTGCCTAAATTATTTCTTTAAGTCTATTAAAAAAAAGTAATATAAGGGGTTTCTAATCCTATCCTAGCTTAGTAGCTAATTAAAGAAACTTAGTTCTATACTTTAATATAAATTAAATTTATTAAAGTACTTTAATCTTTCTTTTTACTTAGCTTTTCTTATTAACTAACTTAAATACTTATTATATAGCTTTCTTAAATTTAATATAGTTATTATAAATTTAAAAAGTTCTAGGTAGTAGTTTATCTTCTAGTATAATAGTAATTTCTTTTAGTATAAGTTAAAACTATTAAGTAGTATTACCCTTAAGATATCTTAATATATATATAACTTTATTATTATTATTAGTAAATTAGTTTAGAAAATAGCTTATATAGGCTTAGTATTAAGTAAAAAAGGTAGCTAATTTAGTAGGGTTTCTATTAAACTATTTAGGTATATTAGGCTTAAGAATTTCTCCTAATTCTTTTCTATTTACTATAGTAGCAGTAAGCTAATATATTTCCTAAATTATATTCTAGTAATTAGTAGCCTATTATACCTAGAGTATAGTGGCTTTAACTAAGGCTTATCTAAAATTATTTATTTTAGTTATTATATTAGTTATCTACTAATAAAGTTAGATAATATTAAAGTTAGTATTACTCTTAGAGTTATTATTTATATCCTAATTATTATTAGTAGGTGCTAGAGTAGTATAAGGTATAGTATATTACTAGATAGGGTTAATATAAGCAGCTATTATATTTATATTACTTAGTATTATATAATATAATTTAAATAAGAGCTATTAATATATAATAGTTAGTTTCTAACTATAAATAAATTAAGCTATATTAGGTTTATTATTAGTAGATTATATAAGGCATAATACTAAGCTTATTAAAGTATTACCTTTCTTAATAGTAGATTTAATATATATTAGGCTTAATTAATATAAAAAAGTTTTATTAATAGCTAGTAAGCTAGAACCTATAAAAGTATTAATAAATATGTTTTATATACTAAAGGTAGTTCTCTTAGAATAATATAATATAAGGTTACTATTAGTCCTGGAATAATATAGTCCTAGAATATTATTAGTCTTATAAATATTAGTCCTTCCCTGGTTAGTAGGTTAAATAGAGAAAATTATAGGGTGTATATAATATAACTGCTAGGATTGTAATACTAAATATAAAGATTTAATTATTATTTATAATTAGTTTAGGCTTATATAAAATATAATTATAAAATATAATATCTAATTACCCCTGTTTATATTAATAGTGCACTGATGTTTAGCTAATCCGTTGAATCTATTACGTGCTGTGTCCCGTGACCCATTTGACCCTCTTTATGCCGCTGAGACCAATGGTCTTTGACTTTAGGCAACTAAACTTATAAAAAACTTAATACATTTTCTTCCCAAACCCCACGATCACCCCTCTTCCATCCCAGATCACGCGGTATGCCGTCCCCCTCGCCTTCATCGAGGCTCAGTCTTCTCCAGTACCTTCTTGGCCTGCCACCAGATGGCCTCGAGCCACTTATTATGCAAGCCGCCGAGGATCTCGCAACCAAAGATTGCCGATCTAACGCGGCCGGCATTATCCTCTTTTCCCCAGTCTATTCCGATTTCCATCGCTATATCACGAAGCTCGCCGTGATCATCTTTCTTAATAGCTTGCTTGATTTTACAGGTCATATCGTGGCCTTTCGTCAGATAAGGCTTATTAGGATCAGGTGGCTGTAGGCTTCTTCTAACAGCAGGCATCGTGGCAGTAAATCTATAATGCTGTTAGCAGTTGCGATCATAAGGTATATAATCGGATCGGATCACTTACTGGGCAGTGGATGATTTAAGCGTGGTATCTGCAGGGGTCGGCGATAGAGTGGCCTTTAAAGTGGATTATAGGAAGAAGATTAGGGCTAGCTGAAGAGCAAGGCCCTCTAGCTGGGTTATATGCAGCTAGGTTTAGGCTGTAATTAAGGCAGCTAACTATAATAATATTAACTTAATAAAGCTTTACCTGCTAAGGGGTAATAAATATTTAAATTATATTAAACTTTAGAGATGCTTAGATATACCTTTTAAGGCTAACTTATAAACTTTAAAAAAAAAATAATATCTAATTAAATAATATTTAAAACTTTAATAAAATTAACTTTATAATAGGCCTTATTATAATTAAAATAGCTATTATAAGTTTAAAAATATAAAAAAGGCTAAAATTAATATAACTTAGAAACTAAGAATAAATTATTATAATTTAAGTAATTAATATAAAAAGTTAATTTAAGTATTATTTAATTATATTTATTCTTAATTTATATTTCTCTTATTATATTATCTTATAACCTAATTTAATTTATTATTAACCTACTAAGCCAGCCTTAGTCTATTAATATTTATAGTTTTTCCTTAAATACTAAAACCTTTTTTTCTTAATATGGCCTTTTAGGGTTAGAGCCTTAGTAGTAATTGCCTTAAGAGGGTAATAATAGAGAGGGCATTTAGCCTACTAAGGATAGGGGAAATATCTTTTTTATACTTATAAATTAAGGCTACTTATTTAATTAGATCTTAAGGTTTAAGGCAGTAATTATATAATCTGCTAAGACTTAATATTAAGATTATAATATTTTTTAATATAATATATAATACCTTATATTATATTATATTAAAAATAAATACCTTATTTTATTATCTTATTTTAATACCTTTAGCTTTACTTTATATATTATTAAATAGGTATTTTAACTTTTAAATAAAAAGTTAATTAATTATATTATTTAATATTAATAAAAGTAAATATTATCTTATTAATTAATACTAAGAATATAATTTTTTTAATAATTAGGTTATTATAATAAGTTAAAATAAATAAATAAATAATAAGCTAAGTCTTAAGTAATTAAAATACTTTAATTAATTAATAATTAAGTAATTAATTAATTTCTATTATTTTTTAATTTTTAATAATTATAAAAATTATTATTTTATTAATTTTAAGAAATATTATTAAAATTATAAGATTATTCTATTTTATATATTTATTTATATATTTTATTTACTTTAGCCTTTTAATATTAAATACTTTATAATATTTAAAAAAATATATAATTAAAAAATAAAATATTTAATTAAATACTTTATAACTTATATTTTTAAAATTAAGTTCTTTTTTATTTTTTATATTATATTTAAAGCTATTTTTATAAAAAATAATATTTAAGGAGGTTTTAAAAGAGCTAAGTTTATTTTTTTTAACTTAGAAATTATAATCTTAAAGCTTAATATATAGTTATAAATCTTAATACCTTTTAAAAAGGCTATTAAATTATTAATATTATAGGCTTTAAAGACCTTAAAAATAATTATTAAGATTTAATTTTAATTTAAATATCTTAATAATTAAATTAAATATTATTATAATAGCTTTTTAAAGTTAATATTAAAAGCCTTAAAGTCTTTTATAAAAGAAATAATAATTATAAGATAATATAATTAATAAGTATATATTATAAATAAGTATATATTATAAAAGATCCTAGCCTTAAGTATTTTAATTTATTTAAAAATACTATAAATTATCTAATTAATTAAAACTACTTATTATATTCTTCTTTAAAGGTCTTAATTACTATCTAATAGGTCCTTATATTATAACTAGTATTATTATATATATTATAATACTAACTACCTAGTTACTTTAACCTTCCTTAGTTACTACTTTTTAATAATTTAGCTATTACTTATATATTAATATCTATTTAATTAATTACTTATAATACTTTTTATATAGTTATAATACCTCCTTTTTATAATTTAATCCTTTTTACCTTTTAATATTAGCTTAATATCTTATTTATATCTTAAAGATTTTAAATCTTACTTATTAATAAGATAATCTTATATATACTTTCCTTAATTACCTTAATAAGAAATTATAAAGCTTTAATAATTAACTTTAGAAAGCTATTTTTATAGCTTTTAATTTATTTTTTAAAGTATTTAAATTAAGATTAAGCCTTAATTATTATCTTTAAGGTCTTTAAAACCTATAAGATTATTAATTAATTAACCTTCTTAAGAGGTATTAAAGTCTATAATTATATATTAAGCTTTAAAATTACTATTTCTAGGTTAAGAGGAGTAAATCTAGCTTTTTTAAAGCCCCCTTAGATATTACTTTTTATAAAAATAGCTTTAAATATAATATAAAAGGCTAAAAAGAACTTAGTCTTAGAAATATAAGTTATAAAGTATTTAATTAAATACTTTATTTTTTAATTATAAGCCTTTTTTAGTATTATAAAGTACTTAATATTAAGAGGCTAAAGTAAATAAGATATATAAATTAATATATAAAATATAATAATCCTATTATTCTTATAATATTTCTTAAAGTTAATAAAATAATAGCTTTTATAACTATTAAGAATTAAAAATAATACTAAGTATTTAATTATTTAATTATAAATTAATTAAAGTATTTTAATTACTTAAGACCTAGCTTATTATTTATTTACCTATTTTAGCTTATTATAATAGCCTAATTACCTAAGAGGTTACTTTCTTAATATTAATTAATAATATAATATTAGCTTATATTAATAATAAATAATATAATTAATTAACCTTTTATATTAATTACCTAAATTATTATAATTTATTTATAATTTCTAGGTTATATTAATTTTAATCTTCCTTGCCTTTTTAAGCTTATAATTATTATTCTAGTTATAATAAGGCCTATTATAAAGCTAATTTTATTAAAGTTTTAAATATTATTTAATTAGATATTATATTTTTCTAATTATATTTTATATAAGCTTAAACTAGCTATAAATAATAATTAGATCTTTATATTTAACTTTTTAATAGTTATATCTCTAAAATAAATATATTTTTAGCTTTAATTATTACTTTATAAAATTATAAGCCTAATATTTACTAATAGGTAATATATTATAATTAGCTAATAGAGAATTAGTTATTTCTTTTATAAAATAAAGTTATATAGGAAATCCTTATAAATCTAAGTTAAAAAGAAATTAAACTATTATTTATTCCTTTAAATTAATTAGTTTTTATAACTTTAGAATTTAATTATATTATAATTAAATGCCTTATTATTAGTACTATAGCTTTATTCTTTTAACTTTATAAATCTTTATAATATATTTAATTATTAATTTTAGGTTATTTTAAAGGGCTTAAAGTATAAGAAGGATTCTAGCTTTATTTAATAATTAAGGAATATTTAATAATTAAGAAGTATCTAATTAAATAGAAATATTATAAAATAAGAGATTTTTATAATATATATTTATTTATAATATATACTTATTAACTATATTATAAGAATATATTATTAAAAACTAAGGTTAAAAATCTTTAAGATATAAATAAAATATTAAGTTAATATTATATAATAAAAAGGATTAAATTATAAAAAGAAGGAATTATAATTATATAAGAAGTATTATAAGTAATTAATTTAATAAATATTTATATAATATAATTAATAAGTAAGTATTATAGATAAGTAAGTATTATACTTTTCCCTCTTATATCTTACTTTTTATTTAATTAATTAGTTCTTAACTACTTAAGATATTATAATATATAAATAAAGCTAAAACCCTTCTTGCCTTTTAGGCCCTTTAAAATAATCTAAAATTAAATACTTAACATACTACTAAGATATATAAGATTAATAAACACTACATATATCGCCGCTAATAAGGCATTTAATTATAATATAATTCTATCCTAAATTTATAGAGATTATTTAATTTAAAGGAGCAGATAATAATTTAATTTATCCTAGACTTAGATTTATAAGGATTTCTTTTATAATTATACTTTATAAAAGAAATAGCTAATTTTTAACTTATAAATTATAATATATTACTTATTAGTAAGTATTAGGCTTATAACTTTATAAAGTAATAACTAAAGCTAAAAATATATTTATTTTAAAAATATAACTATTAAAAAGTTAAATATAAAAATCTAATTATTATTTATAATTAGTTTAAGCTTATATAAAATATAATTATAAAATATAATATCTAATTAAATAATATTTAGAACTTTAATAAGATTAGCTTTATAATAGGCCTTATTATAGCTAAAATAGCTATTATAGGTTTAGAAATATAAGAAAGGCTAAAATTAATATAGCCTAAAAACTAAAAATAAATTACTATTATTTAAGTAATTAATATAAAAAATTAATTAATTATATTATTTATTATTAATATAAGCTAATATTATCTTATTAATTAATATTAAGAATATAGCCTCTTAGGTAATTAGGTTATTATAATAAGCTAAAATAGCTAAATAAATAAAAAGCTAAGTCTTAAGTAGCTAAAATACTTTAATTAGTTTATAATTAACTAATTAATTAGTTCTTATTATCTCCTAATCCTTAATAATTATAAAAGCTATTATTTAGCTAATTTTAAGAAATATTATAAAGAAAATAAAATTATTATACTTTATATATTTACTTATATATTCTATTTATTTTAATCTCTTAATATTAAGTACTTTATAATATTAAAAAAAGTATATAATTAAGAAATAAAGTATTTAATTAAATACTTTATAACTTATATTTCTAAGACTAAGTTCTTCTTAGCCTTTTATATTATATTTAAAGCTATTTTTATAAAAAGTAATATCTAAGGGGGCTTTAAAGGAGCTAGATTTACTTCTCTTAACTTAAAAATAATAATCTTAAAGCTAAATATATAATT